CCCCAAAACCCCAAAACCCCAAAACCCCTTTATTATATAAAATATTGATAAATGTCAGCAAAATATTTCTTTTAGAGTCGCTAGATATTTTAATATTTAGCATTACCAGGCCATCTTGGAAATGGAATCGAGTCTCTTATGTTATCAATCCCAGAGATCGTCATGACTAATCTTTCAAGCCCTGCTCCAAAGCCTGAATGAGGGACGCTGCCATATTTTCTTAAGTCAAGGTACCACCAGTATTCTTCTGGGGAAATTCCATTTTGTTCGATATTGTTTTTGAGTACTTCATATCTTTCTTCTCTTTGGGAGCCTCCTATAAGTTCTCCAACTCCTGGGACTAGCACATCCATTGCTGCCACAGTCTTGCCATCATCATTTTGTCGCATGTAGAAGGGTTTGATTTGTTTAGGGTAATCATAAACTATAACTGGCTTTTGGTTAATCTCTCATAGGAATTTCTCATGCTCAGTCGAGAGGTCAATTCCCCACTCAGGATAAACCTCAAACTTATTTTTGGATTGTGAGGCTAATTCTGAAATAGCATCAGTGTAGGGAATCCTCTCAAAGTCTTGCTGAAGGATATTATTTAGATCGTCAATGATTCCTTTCTTAACCCATTGGTTTCAGAATTCAAGATCTTCCATATTTTTAACAAGAACATGCTCAATATTATGTTTTAGGTAGTCTTCAGCACAATTGATTCAATCATTGAGATCTGAGAAGGCTAATTCAGGTTCTATCATCCAGAATTCAGAGAGGTGTCTTTTCGTATGGCTGTTCTCAGCTCTGAATGTAGGCCCAAATGTGTATACATCACTTAAGGATCAAGCGTAATTTTCAACATCTAATTGACCGCTTACTGTTAGGAACACCTGATCTTTGAAAAAGTTCTCAGAATTTTCAGACTCTTCTTGCTGAGTTTTTACATGAAACAACTCTCCAGCTCCTTCACAGTCAGAAGAGGTGATGATAGGAGTATGAATGTACAGAAATCCTCTGTCTTGAAAGAAGTCATGCGTTGCCTTTCAGATACTATTCCTGATTCTTGTTACTGCTCCAATCGTGTTTGTACGAGGCCTTAAATGTTGAATACCTCGAAGGTACTCTAAAGTATGTCTTTTCTTTGCCAAGGGATATTCTCCTTGAGGACTACTTCCAAGAATCTTGAATGAATGATCTTCATTATTTCTAAGAGAAAGCTCATATTTTTGACCCTTTTTAGGAGATTCTACGAGAGTTCCTGTTATTTTGAAACTAGTTCCAACACCTTCAGACTTAAGTTGATCAAAATTATTGATACTTTTATCAATAACAACCTGCAAGTTCTTGAAACAAGATCCGTCGTTGATTTCAAGGAAGGAGAAGGCTCCTTTGCCTCCATAACGAATGGTCCTAGTCCATCCACAAATAGTAATGGTCTTGTTCAAATAATCTTCCCTTTGTGAATTTAGTACCTCCTTAACTCTAATTCTTCCAGTGTAGCTGTATGGCTTCACCCTAGAAGTAAAGGCCATCTTGGAATAATTCTGGTAGAATGATCTTGGCTTTACTGTCTTCGGGTAAATTTTCCTTGCCAAAACTCTTCCAAAAGGTCTGAAGTTAACTAGTAATTTACCTTGTTAAAAACATTTGTGGCTTTAAAAATATATTCAATTTCTGCACTATATTTTGGGGTTTTGGGGTTTTGGGGTTTTGGGGTTTTGGGG